CCCTCCCCGAGAGGCTCTCCGCAGGGGGTGGAGCTGGAGGTGACCGCGACCAGCGCCCTCCACCCCTCCTCTCGCGCCGGCCCTGCCCGCCACCCTGCCGTGCCCTGCAAGCACCTCGTAAACCGTAGGCGCGGGCAGCGCCATCGAGTGGCGTGGCGGAGCGTGGCGGAGCGGGGCGGAGCGGGGCACGTTGTGAGGGCGGAGGGTGGAGCGGGACGTGGCGTGGAGAAACCGTTGGATAAACTACCTGCCGCTGTAGGTTGGAATTGCACGAGAGACCCACTGCGCCGCGCCGTCTTAGTCCATTTCTCTTTTCTTTCGTCTTTTCTTTTCTTGGAATTAAGCGCGCAGTTGGTCGTCGCGTCCCTCGCCGGCGGTCCCTCCCGGAGGCTCTCTCTCTCCTTCCCCAGACGCGGCCCGCCGGCGCGTGGCGTGGCCTCTCGCCATCCTCGTGAAAGTCTCTCCTCCTCTGCCTTCTCAGCGCGCCTCCCCGTCCTCGCCGTCCTTCGGGTGTCGCGTCGGTCTGGAGCGGCGGCGCCCGACGCGACGGCTTCCTCCTCGGCTTCCTGGGGCCCGATACGAAACGTGATGAATGGCAGCCGGGCCGATGTTTATGGAAATGGAATTCACTTTGGGAGGAGGAAGGCGAGGCAAGGCCAGCCCGGCGGCGTCGTAAGTGAGATTGGTTATAGAGGCGTGGAAATGTATAAATACATAAAAGGCGTTGCCGGCGCCGCCTTGGCGCCCTAATGTATCGCCCCGCTCTCTGTTCATTTCGCTCGAGCCACGCGCCTCGGCCACCACTGGAGCGAGCAGCGGAGCCCGACCGAGATGGAGCCATTCTGCGCACCGACAATGACAAACAGGTGGACGAAGCCGCGGCGAAACTGTCGCGAGCGGTCGCCGCGCCCGCTACAGGCGAGAAACATGACAGAGAGAAGTACTTATTCACTCCTCTTTGTCCCCCTCCCCCCTAGAAAAAACCCCTCCCGGCAGCAGCACCACCTTGCCCACCATCTCACGCGTGTCCCTCTCACGTAATTTTCATAATGACCATGGACAACCACGGCCACCGCAGAGTGTCGGAGCTGCCGCAGCTGTGCGCAGCTGTGGCCAGGAGTCATGTACGTAATGTACCGCCACGCCCCGCCGCTGCGCCGAACAAAACAACCCCCGCTGTCAATAAGCCGCACGCCCCCCGCCCCGCCACGCCACGCCCTCGCCTGCCCGGGTGCCATTCGTTTCACTTCTCGCTGTGATAACAGCACCGGCAGGCCAGGACCCCCTCGGGGGTGGAGGACAACACAGCAGCGGAAGTTTTAATTCCATTTGGTGGCGCAGTGCCGCGCCGCGCCGCAGCCGCCGCGCCCCGGGGCGGGGTGGGGTGGGGCGGGGAGCAGCGGGGCGCCGCGCAGTAGATCGTGGTGAGGGCCCTGAACACCCTTGCATGGGGATGCTGAGCCGCGCCCGGCTAAACCGTAGGATTGTACTGACTGACTGTCACGGTCTGCCTCTCGTAAGGCACCGTGGGACCTGAGCAGAGCAATCTGCAGCGAGCAGAGCGAGAGCATAAGCATATATAGCTCAGCCAGACACACAAGCAGGGAGGCTGCTCCGCTCTGCTGCGCTCCGCTGCTGCCAGCGTCTTTTACGGGCCGTTCCTTGCAAATCGTCGCGCCCTGCCGCCGCCGTTCTGCCGCGCCGCCGTGGTTTGCTGAGGAGCGGCGCGGGCAGGGCTGTTCCTATCCCCCCTCTCGAAAGTGATGGGTCGTTCTCCCACACCGCGCCGAGACCTCAGCGGCAGGCGCCGGGGATGGGCCTCACCGCCACCGTCGTGCCACCCTCCCGCCGCCAACCCCTCACCGCTCAGCAGCTGTCAATTCATAAAGATGCATGCCAAAGTTTATGCTCCCTTATGCCGAGCCGGCGTGGCGTGGCGTGGAGGCACGCGGGCCCCGCGAGAGACCTGATGGAGTTCACAGCCGCTTTTACCCCC